ACAGGTGTGTGTACTGTTTTCGGAACAGAGCAGGGAACAAGACAGCACCCTAAGCCATAAAGGGGTAAAACATCCACGACTCGAAATCCACCCTCTAACCACAAGGTGTGCAGTTCAGGGGCGCTAAGCACATTCGCCCCTCTGCACCCGTCACTGAACTTTTGTCTCCCCAGACTGTCCCCATCACCCACTCTCCCCACAGCCCCCTCCCCGGCCCTGCCGTCTGCTCTCTGTCCCCCTGGGTCTGACCACTGCAGGTGCCTCCTAGAAGTGGAACCAGACAGGATTTGTCCTTCTGGGTCTGGCTTGTTTCAGCACAGTGTCCTCAGCGCTCCCCCGGGTCGTGGCAGGTGTCAGCAGGCTGAGTACTACTCCACGATGCCGATGGCCACATTTTGTCTGTCCCTCCGGCCGGCGGGGGACAGCGGGGTTGCTTCCACACTTGGTCCACTGGAATAACGCTGCCAGGAACGTGTCTGAGTCCCTGCTCTTGGTTCTCAGAGCCATATGCCCACGAGTGGAACCCCGTGTCCCACGGTGACGCCCCCGCTGTCGTCCACGGCGACGGCACCGTTCTCCATCCCCAGCAGCCGTGCACAGTCTAGGCCAGCACGTGGTGCGCTCCGGTGTTGGGGTTGTAGCTGTCCTGGTGCGGGGAGGGGGATCTCAGGTGGTTTTGATTTGCAGTGTCCCTGGGTTTTCCTGCCCGACACCTTCTCCCTGTCCTCAGGGTCCTCTGCACCCAGCTAAGATCCCCAGCCACCGTGGGCCCCCTTCCCCCCTCAGCGCCCCCCGTGGCCACTCCCTCCTGACCCGGGCAGCTGCTTGCCCGCTCCTTCTGCTCCATCCTCTCCTCCTGGCCCCCACCTGCTCAGGGAGCCCCTCCAAGCCTCCCCGTCCCCAGTATCAGTTTTCCCCACCACCATGTCCAACAGTCACATCTGGGCCATCATTTCTCATCCTTACAAGCCTCTCGGCGCCGCCCCCCACAGCCGTGAGACTTCACTGGCTAGCTCCTGGAGCGGTGGCCCCCGTTGCCGCCTCCTGCCCTCCTGAACACCCTGGGCTCCACCCTCAACGTTGTGTGCGTGAGCTTTGGCCACGCAGCAAACCATCCCGAGCTTTACCAGCACTGGTTTGTGACCTCATGGTCTCCGTGGGCCTGGAGTCCAGGTGCAGTGAGGCTGCCTCCCCGGTGGGTGGCGGATTCCGGCCTCCCTGACGGGGCTTCCCGCAGCTCTGCACCACCTGGGGTGCACCTCCGTGGGGCACCTACCTGCGGAGCCTTACAGGTCAGCCTCCCACCGGGCCCACGCGGGACGGGAGGGCATGGCACAGAACGTGAAACCAGGAGGCGGGATCCAGAATCTTCCCGGTGCTCACCACCCGCCCTGGTCCTTGTCTCTGACCTGGATGACCCCAGGGCCCCTCCTCGCTGACCTCCCTTCTCCCCGGGAGGGCCTGGGATCACCTAAGTCCTGTCCCACCACCGCTCTGTCCTTGGTCCTCCCAATGGCCTTCTTGCTGTTGTCGGCACTGCCTCCAGCTGAGGCCCCTGGCAGCTCCGTGGCGGCGACGGAGCAAGACGGAGGTGGACAGCCTGGCCCGCCCACGGAAGAGACGCCGGGCGCCCTCGCGCAGCGGTGACTCGCGGGCTCTCCCCGTGGGGCCCGCAGCGGCGCTCTGGGGGGAGGGGCGCGGCCTGTGTCCGCCTGGGTATCTGCCCCCCGGAGCAGCACTGTGGCCCCAGGAGCTCCCGGGGCACGTGGGGCCGCGTCCGAAGTCCACACACCACAGTCCCCAGGTGAGCAGCTGGGCTTGAGAACTCAGCCTACACGCCGGGCTGTACTGCGGCCGCAGGGAAGCTTCGGGAGCCCCCCCCCGCCAAGATCTCAGACCAGCAGAGCACCCCTCCCGGGGGGCAGGTGTGACACAGCGACCCCACTGCCCCGAGCGAGCAGGCCAAGGCTGCTGCCGCCCCCGTTAACTCGCCGGCCGGCCCGCAGCCTGGCGGCCACAGGCCACCACAGAGCTGCCCGAGAAGAGTCGTGGCGGGGCGGGGCCAGCTCTGCTGAGGGCGCCCCCGTGGAGTTGTGAACGCACGCTTCCCTTCCCCAGCCAGGAGGACCAGAAACGGCACCCCCACTGAACAGACCACACGGGCTTCCCCGATTGGCCCCGGAGCCACGGCGGTGAGGTCTCCTGCACTCGTACGACAAGGTCTGGGGTCCAGAGCCCGCAGTGGTGCTGTCCTTATGCTGGGGAGGTCGAGCCAGCCGCAGGGGACCTGGCTGGTGTGGTGCCGGGGTGGTCACTCCCATGACTGTGTGGGGGCCCTGTGCTCCTGTCCCCAGCGCTCTGGGCCCCGCCGGCCAGAGGTCCTGCTGCCCCACGAGCCCCAGTCTCTGCAGGGAACACAAGGAGCCCGAGCTGGGCGGCCCCAAGCTGCAGGGGAGTGCAGTAGCCATCTCGCTGGGGCGGCTGGCCCTGCGGTGGGAGCTAGGCTGCTCTCAGCCATGCCCCAGCATGGCCCCGATGGACAGATCGCCAAGGCCAGACCCCTCGGGGACGAAGGCTTGTCTCAGGGAGGAGTCGCCAGCGGGATGCCCCAGCAGCAGGGACCCTCATGCGTGGAGAAAACCCTGGGGCACTGGGGGCCTGAGAGCCCGGGGGCTGTGGGCCATGCACCCCTCCAGCCACACGGCCCCACCCCCTCAGCAGCCCCCGTGGGTTCTGATCTGGGCACAAATACCTGAGGCTGATTTGGGGGGTAAGTGATTTTCAAGCAACATGTCCAAAACTCCCGCGGTTGCTCCACCCGTGAGGCAGCGACCTCCTCGCCCCCCGGGGCCACCGCTTCTGCAGCCCCCATGAGGAGGCGCCCCCTCCCCACCTCACCCCTTGCTGTGACAGCCAGCTCCCGTCTGGGGGCCCTCGCTGGCGACGATGGGGCTCACCCCGCGGGCCAGGGCTGGGGAGCCTCGGGGGCCACCCCGCACACCTCAGAGCCCAGCCTGGGCCCGGCCTGAGCAGCGCGGCCATCCGGCCACCGGGCATGGGGCTGGCCCCGGGGGGGGGGGGGACACAGCTGTGGCTTTGTGTCCCCCGCGGGCAGGAGGCGGCCTCAGCCACCCAGACGCCTCGGCGCTGCCTGCGGCTTCAAGAAGCTCCGTGCACAGCGTTTTGGGCCATTTCTCCTGTTTGCTCCGGAGCGCCAGACGGGCTCGGAATGCACGGGATCAGCAGTGAGCAGAAGCGGGGGCTGGGCAGCCCGTCCGCCATCCAGCACTCTGCTCTGCCACCGCGGACTCATCACGTGTGCGCTCCGGCGCTCACTCGGGCCCTCACTC